AGACACACACACAGAGAGAGAGAGAGAGAGAGAGAGAGAGAGAGAGAAATTACCCTCTGGGGGGATGGCCATGTTGCAAAACCATCTCCTTTGCTCTCCTTTCGGTATTTTGGGCATGCACGCACATGTGCCCAGCATGATTTTCAAGCTGCTAGGTCCAAGACGCTAACCATGGGCTATGTGGGAATCCAGCACTTTATCCACCCCACCACCAGTTGGTCCAGGACCAGTTATCTTAAAGACAGAACAGATGCTTTTCCCAGAGGGATATAGATGGTAAGCTAGGTAAGAATAAAAGAATTTAAATAAAATAGTCACTCAGCAAAGCATATTTCCCCTCACACATACTCTAATCTCTCATTCACTAAATTATCAGTAATTATAATTTGTTTTTTACGTCATCATCATTAGTCATTAAAAAGTGATGGTGATAATAATTGAGGTGATTTCTCATGCCTCCTCCCTAGTTGATATTTCCTCTCAACCATCTTACACACCCAAAGGTGTGTGTCATAGTTTTACATATGAATCTGAGAGAAAACATGCAAACAACAGACTCCCCCCTAGACCATCTAATGAGTGGTGTCAGGAATACTTAAGAGCCAACTAGTATTCTTCAGTGGCTTTCGGTAGTGGCCAAGTGGAATTTTCTGGACTCTGCCTGTGCGATGCGAAAATTACTTTGACCTCCTCCTCCCCTCTCTGGTGCTGCTTCTGTTGCTGTAACAACCTGTTGCAGAGGGCTGGGTATGAGGGCTGTGTGTGGGGGGGTGAGACTCTTAGGCCTTTTTGTGCTAATGTATCTGTCCAGGAGCAGGGGACGACCCTGGAGTTTGGCATAACCATGGCAATAAGTTTATATTCTGAGTATGGGGGAGTTGATTTCTCCTGCATCCGAGGTGCGTTTGGAGTGCTGGATTATACGGTAACTTAGACCTAAGACAGTAGTGGCTAAGAGAGGGCTCCACAGCCAGGCTGCTTGAGCCCAAATCTGCCATTTGCATGTAAACTTGAGAAGCTTACCAAACCTCTCCATGCCTGTTTTTCTAATATGTAAAGTGGGGACAATAATAGGACTTTATAAAGTTAGGAAGAAAAAAATGAGTGAACTCATTTTCTCAAAGTGCTCAAGAGTATCTGTCTTGCAACGGTCTGAAAAGTGAGAACAATGTCCTCTAGTCCTTCGACGTCAGTAGTTCTATTAGAGAAGCACAGTTCATTCACTAAAAATATGAGCTCACATGCTCTGTACCTGGGATTTGGTGGAGAACAAAGTAGGTGTGGTTGGGGAGAAAGAAGGTCTAATTTCCCATTGTGGGTGGAAGGTGCCTGGAAGGGAGGCCTTCATGGGAGGTGTGGTTGGGGAGAAAGAAGGTCTAATTTAACAAGAAGGTCTAATTTCCCATTGTGGGTGGTAGGTGCCTGGAAGGGAGGCCTTCATGGAACAGGGAAAGCAAATGTGTTCTTGATAAGGAGGAGGGAGGTTTAGAGGATGAGCTCATCATCGCTGTCATCACCGTCCTCACCATTTCGGAAATTTGTTAAGGACTTTGTATGCACCAGACACTCTACTAAGCACTGTATATGGTGTGTCTTATCCAATCCTTACAATCCTTAGAGCAGGTGGTATTTTGTTCCATGATCTTTGAGCTGAAGGAAAAACCTGAGCAATTATCTCATCTACTCATCCTCAATTTATAGATGAAGAGTCCAAGTCTTGGACAGGGACAGTCATTTGTTCAGTGTCAGCACAGACAGAGTGGAGAATAAATTCCAGGACCCTAACTCTATCCTAATCCATTTACACCCCACAGCAGACTCTCTGGAAGGTGCTCCTGAGAGATTCTGCCACTCTCCTATCTTAAGAAGGTTACCTGAGTCTTAGAAAGGCTCTTTCTGCAGAGGTCTTGTTGCTGTTTTCTCAGGACAGACTGCTTCCTTTTTTCTTTACTCTTTCCTGTAACTTTGGCTGTCCTCTTGAACATGGACTGTGGAGGCTCTAGTTGCCAGAAAGCACAGAAGGCCAGGAACTCATGTTCCCTGGCCGTTTATGGCCTCTGTCCAGCTGGACCATCCCAGCACCGGGATTCTCCTTTTAGGGACTGCCGACCAGGCGGCTGGGAGTACATGTGTGAGCATTCACTGGGAATGCAGCACTAGCTGAGAGCCACTGGTTTCTATAAGGGACGAGTTGCTCGAATCAAGTCTCTTACTTTACCCTCTTCTTGAATGTGAAGGAATAATGTCTACTCAGCCTTTTTCTTTTCTTTTTTTTTTTTTTTTCCCTCTTTCTGCTTCTGTACATTTAATTGTTTCTGTGTGGAAATAGTCTTTTAGGTAGAATTTAGATGTGTAGAAATGGATACATGGCAGCTGAAAGGAGTACACGCTTATCCTGCCGGTTCTGTGAGGCTTAAACCGGAGAGAGGGTGTTCTGGCATTGTGGGGGCTTGTCAGGGCTTCAGGGGATTATGTTTTGACTCAGAGCGATCTACCCCAAGGCATTTGCATTTACTGCCTTCCTGTTCTAGAAAGGCTATGTTCTGCTTTCTCACATGCTTAGTGAGGTTTAGCTCCCCCCTCCCCTCCCCAGTGAGGCCTTTCCTGAGCATCCTCTCTCTCTAAAGAATCCCTGCGACCACACCCAGTTTCCTTCGTAGCACGTGTAGCCAGCTGTAATGTGCTGATTGTTTACTGGTTACTCGTGTTTCTCCTTCCCAAATATTCCCACTGCAAGGTTTGAAACCACATCTGCCTTGTATTTCCAGTGCCTACGATGGAACCCAACACAGGGTGTTCATTGTGAATTCATTAATAAAGAGATGCCTTGGGACCAGCAGTTAGCATAATGGCAATATGGCTGAACTCCCATGTGGTTGACTGCAGTTCGAGTCCTGGACCCGGTGGCTTAAACTCACACTGGGTGCATGTGCATGCGTGCCCAAAATCCCAAGAGGAGAATGAGGGAGAAGGGATTGTGACATGGCCATTCACCCCTTGGGGGGTAATTTCTCTCTTTCTGTCTCTCTGTCTCTGTCTTTCTGGAGAGCGCATGCACCCTATAGCAAAAACCTCTCCCCCCCAAAAAATAAATAAATAAAAGAGAGACACCTCTGAACTTCTTTCTCTGGCCAGAATTTATTTTCCTCTTATAGGCCTTGGGTTTGCAGGAAAAGACCTCTGTGCGATCCACCTGAGTCACATACAGGACTGATGCTCTAGAGAGTAGATTTGATACTCTTTTCCTGTGTATTACATTAGTGGTCCCCTTTTTCCAGCCCCCTTCCCTGCTACCCTCACTGGCATGTGGAAGGAAGAGACTGCCTGGGGTAATCCGTCTCAAGGGGGATGGACACTTTGGTTTTGGAGGTAGACAGTCCTGGGCTCAAATCCCTGATCTGTCACTGCTGTGACTTTTTACAAGTTAGCTTCTCTGGGCCCAAGTTTTCTTATCTGTGAAATGAGATGTAAAAATACTACCCCCATGATTTGGGGGAGGACAGGCATTAATATGTGTATTATAATTATTTTTCATTTTGAAAGCAATAATATAAGCTAGTACAAATGGGATCATGGGGAGAAAAATGCCCCATGATCCCCTTTCCATAACTGAAAACCCCATTTCTATACTTGAAAATGCTCAAGTATTTTCGTTTACATCTGCTCCCGTCTAATCTTTGTCCATACGTGGGCGTGCTTTACACAGCCTGTGTAGGCACACACCGAGCCTGTATAATGCTAGGATTACTTTTTGCTTTGTCATGAGTGACTTTCCGTGTGACTAGATTTCCATTGATTGGGTGCCCCATATGTGATTTCAAACCATATCCCTAGGCAGTGACGTTGCTGCTGCCTGCATTTTTGTTTTGCTGTCATAAACGGTGCTAACACGTTTGTGAAGATAACTTCTTGTTTTGAATTCTTTCTTTTTTTCTTTCTTTCTTTTTTTTTGGGAGAGATTTTTGCTATAGGGCGTGTGAGCTCGCCAGAAAGACAGAGAGAGACAGAGAGAAGGAAAGTGAGAAATTACCCCCCAGGGGGGATGGCCATGCCACAATCCCTTCTCCTCCATTCTCCTCTCGGGATCTTGGGCACGCACGCACACGCACCCAGCGTGAGTTTTAAGCCACCGGGTCTGGGACGTGAACCGCGGTTGACTACATGGGACCCCAGTGACATAGCCATTACGCTAACTGCTGGTCCCTTGAATTATTTCTTAAAGACTGATACATGAAATTAGTGCATGGGAACCAGCAGTTAGCATAATGGTTATGTCACTGGACTCCCACGTAGTCAACCATGGTTCGCGTCCCAGACCCGGTGGCTTAAAATTCACGCTGGGTGCGTGTGCGTGCGTGCCCAAGATCCCGAGAGGAGAATGGAGGAGAAGGGATTGTGGCGTGACCATCCCCTCTGGGGGGGGATTTCTCGCTTTCTGTCTCTCTGGAAAAAGGATTGTGGCATGACCAAGCTCTGATCCTGCTCTCTTCCTCTCTCCCTGTCTTTGCTTAACATATATACCCTCTGACAATAAGGAAACAAAGAAGGAAGGAGAGAAGGAAGGAAGGGAAGGAAGGAAGAAACTAGAAATTCTGTTTCCCTACCGAAGTTCTTGGAGGGAGAGTTTGGCTTTGCCACTTGTGAATACTCGCTTGTACGTTGTTCCTGGCGTTGTGCTGGTGCCTCTGTAATAGACAGACACTCTAACCCATGGGTTGTGGAGGGGTGGTTTATGATTTAATGAACATCATTTGAGGACTAGGAGTTGGGCCATCTGGTGCTGTCCTGTGCTTTGAGAGGGACTGCTGAGGCTATGAAGGTGAGCAGAAGGACTGCTTTTATCCCTGCATCATTTTTCTCTTTTTCTCCTTCCCTCTTTTTGTACCAGGAAGCCAAAAAGAAGTATGACAAAGAGACAGAGAAATACTGTGGCATTTTAGAAAAACACTTGAATTTGTCTTCCAAAAAGAAAGAATCCCAGCTTCAGGAGGTAAGAAACATTCCTAGTGTCCTAAATCAAGTGTTTGATGCCCATAGTGGTATGGAAAGGGGCCAGTAGCTCTTTGCCCAGAAATCTTCGGGTGGGAAGAGACCTGGGAAACCAGGAGCTTGGTCCCCATCCCTCACCCAGGGCCTGATGTTGCACTGTCTGTGTCTTCCATCCCACCTCACCTTTTGTGGCCGTCCACCCAGCCTGCCACGCTTCTTAGTTCTTATTCTCTGGCATCGTTTGGCGTGTAGGTTTGGAAATGAATTTCTATTTAAGGGAAGCATTTTTGGCTGAGCTCGCGGTGGCCAGATCTGTCCCCTCTGCGGTTTGCAGGCAGTCAGGAGTTGGGGAGTAGGTGACCGTGCTCCCTCAGTGCAGGTATGCAGAGCCGACTGCGGGTGGGATTGCTGTGGCAGCCGCCGGGAGGCCCATGGCATGGTTACCTGCAGGCATGGCATCCCCATAGTGAGGCTGCTTCTCTTCCAGTTCCCTTCCCTCCACGCCTGGATAGTGCTGAGTTGGTCTGGAATGAGTCCAGCATTTTCTTGTAGGGCCATCCCAATACCATCTCCCTCTGAGGTGCCACAGTGGAGGGACCAGAATGCAGGATTGGCACACACAAGCTCATTTCAAAATCTGCTCTGCCATGTATATTCACTGTGGGACCCGGACAGGTTACTTAGTCTTTCTGTGCTTCAGTTCCTTTATTTGTAATTACTCATAAAATACTGCTCCTTGTGTGGGGAGGGAGAGGGCAGCAGGTGGTATGGTGGTTGACACACTGGACTCCCACATGGGTGAGCGTGGTTTGAGTCCTGGATCTGGCGGGTTGAAAGTCATGCCCAAAATCCTAAGAGGAAAATGGAGGAGAAGGGATTGTGGCATGGCCATACCCCCTGGGGGGATGATTTCTTACTTTCCCTCTCTCTTTCTGTCTCTCCAATGACCGTACATGCCCTCTGGCAAAAATCTTAAAAAAAAAAACAAAAACAAAAACAAAAAAAAACCCCAAAACTAAAAGACACCCAAAAACCAAAACAAAGAAAAACACCCCTGCCCTGTCTGTTTCATGAATGAGAAGGAAGCTGTAGCCGCTGCACAAATACGTCGTCTCCGTGACTGGCTTATTTTACTCCATCCCGTTCCCAATTGGACGGCATCATCCCCAAGGCTGCCAATTACACACCTGACTGTTTACTGTCACTGCACTCTTCTCTGAGATCATTTGTCTTCCTGTCTACCCATTCGCACTTAAGTACTTCGAAGGTGTTGGAGCCCAGGGAATGACGTCCTGAAGTGAAGGCCTGAGAAACAAAGTTTCTCTCTGACTTTCTCCTTCCCTCTCGTGTCTGGCCCTTAATTATTCCCCAAGGCAAGTCATAGAAACTAGAATTCCTCTTCCCTAAGATGGTCATAGAAACTAGAATCGCTTCTTTCTCACAGCTGGCCATAAGCCTAGAAAGACTACCCTAACACTCCCCCCAGCCCAGCTTACTCCCTTACAGCTGCCCACCCCAGGGCCGGCTCAGGGTGCCGTGGTCAGGTGTTGTCCAAGTGCTGCCGGATCCATATGGAAGACCCACATAGAAGATCTTGAGTTCAGTTCCCTGGTTGGCCTGCACACACCTGGTGTGTCTGGGAGTGCTGGGAGCGGGGTCGCAGGGCTGGCATGCAACCCTGTTGAGGATGCTTCTTTCTCAGTGTCTCTCAAAAAATAAGATTCATTCCACAGAGGTCCTACCTCACGTCTGGGAGAAAGAAATGCTACAACAGAGAGGCCAAGAATCTAAACAGGCAGGCCATGCTAGGTTTCTCCCACTCAGTGTATTTCCACTAGCTCAGACCACTTTGTCCAGTCCCATTTCTGCTTCATTGAACCCAGGCGTGACATCAGATCCCTTTCCCTGTGGCCAGGGTCTTCAATGGGAAGGCCTCCTGTATTACGTTAAACCACGGTCACATAAATTTGTTAGGCTTTTCCACTGTTAACCTTTCTTTTTTTCATTCTGAGAGGCTTTTGATATAGGGTGTGTGCATTCACCAGAAAGACACAGAGAGACAGAGACAGAAAGCAAGGAAATCCACCCCCCATCCCCCAACCCCGGGAGGATAGCCATGCTGCAATCCCTTCTCCTCCATTCTCCTCTCAGGATCTTGGGCACGCACACACACACGTGCCCCACATGAGTTTAAGCCACTGGGTCCAGGACTCAAACCATGGTCAACTACATGGGAGTCCAGCAACGTAGCTATTATGCTATCTGCTGGTCTCTCACTTTTGTTATAGGGGTATCCACCATGACTGTCTATAGTAGGCAGGAAAGGGCTCTTCCCTTTATCCCCCTTAAAAAGGGCAAAGATTGGGCCGTAGATCTTTCTCACATGTCCCCAATCTGTTCAGGTCAGTTCTCATGCATTACTTTTTAGTCTTAACTGAACTGAAGTAAAGGGCATAAAAGTCTCATAATAACAAGGATACTGTAACAAGAGCAGTTGCTGTTACAGAATGCATATTTATGCCCCAGAAACTGTGTTAAGCACTTTATGTGGAGTCTTCTTGAATCTCATGGGTGTGGGTGTCACATATGGGGAGCTAAGGCCCAGAGTATGGCCTTCCGGTAGTCAGTCACCCTGGCCTTGGCTGTGGAGCCCTCTCCTCAGCGCAGTTTGCTTCTCTACCTCTCTGGCTTGGGAAGGCTGTTGACTCTGCTGCCTGCCAGCCATTGTTACCCATGCCAGTATCAGGCAAGTGAAACTGGAGAGCACGACCTTAGTGATCGTCCAGTCAGCCTCTTCAAATGACATTCGAAGGCACTGAGTTCCTTCCTGAGGTCAGTGATTGTCTCACGGTATTCCAGCTGTTTGGTGATGGTTTTCTTTATTTTTGAAAGTCAACTTTGAGGAACATTATTAAATACTTTGGGGAAATATATTACCTTCAACTATTCAGAATTGTTCCTCCATTATGGGGCTCTGAACTGAATGCTTTTAAGTTTGAGCTCATCCCTACATTCATGACAATAGAAATTACACAGCAGCGATGTGGGGTGACACTGCCATCTAGTGGATGATATAAGAAAATCATTGTCTTCTTCAGTGGCTAAGAGCTGGCTTCACTTCATTTGTTGAAGCAGTATTCATTGGACGTGTCTGTGAAAATCTGTTCAGGCTCTGGGTGTTTTGTGAGAAGTGAAATGAAAGATCCACCTTCTTGGAATGTAAAGTCTAGAAGATTTCTTGTTTCCAAAAAGCACAGAATGGTTGATGGGTCTGGACAGGCTGTTAGATTTATAGTTTAAGTAACAAGCAGAGAACGGTCTTGAATGATCTGCAGTCCTGTTGTGATTCCATTGTTGAGAGTCTAAGGATGTGGTGAATTCTATGGCCCAGAGTAAGCAGGGGCACTGGCAGAAGAAACAGACCATTCCACTTGGGAGTTCTTCCTTTTCCACAGGAAATGCCTTGAGTTATATATTTCTTCTTAAGAGCTTGGTCACTTCAGGGATGCCTTTGCTATTGACTGATGACCACGTGGTGATCAGTTCATTCAACCTGCAAGCATTTGTTAAGTACCTACAGAAGGACAGACATTATTCTGGTCACTCGAATAGAAAACTAGAAAAAAATAGATAAAGCCTTTTTTCTTGTTACTGTATTTCAATAGGCAATGCACAAGAAAAGAAAGGAATAGATAGGAATTCCAGGTTGTGGGGGACCAGCAGATGGTGTAATGGTTACATTGCTGGACTCCTACATGGCTGACCCCAGTTTGAGTCCCAGACCTGGCGTCTTGAAACTCATGCCTGGTGCATGTGCGTGCATGCCCAAAATTGCAAGAGGAGAATGGAGGAGAAGTGATTGTGGCATGGCCATCCCTCTAGGGGGTGATTTTTCTGTCTCTGTATTTCTCTCTGGCAAGCACACTCACCAGTAGCAAAAATCTCTTTAACGACAACAAAAAACCCCACCACGTTGTGATAAGAAGTAAGTTGGCTGCAATCCTTTCTCATCCATTCTCCTTTTGGGATTTTGGGTACGTATGTGCACACACACCCAGTGTGAGTTTAAGCCACCGGGTCTGGGACTCAAACCATGGTTGACTATGTGGGAGTCCAACAACATAACCATTATGCCCATCTGCTGGTCCCTCAGCATGGCATCTTG